TTGAAATGTTTCAAATCGGTACGTGTCTATATAGTATAGTTGCTTATAATATTCTGTGTTTGCATCTTGAAGAAGGATGAAGTTTATTTATATATGAGCTGGATACGTGGTTTTCTAAAGTCATAATTATTAGGCTATGAAAGGCTTTTACACCATCTCTTAAGCTTCAAAGAGGGTTTTTTAATACCAAAATTTCTATCTTATTGTAAACTGTCGCTTCAAAATCAAAGCTTTTACAATCAACGGCAGTAACTGTAAAAGCTTTTACAGTAAAGAATATTTTTGAGGTTCTGTATACTTAAAGATTTTGTCACCGGTTTGATGTTTTTCTGAAGCCTCAAATGTTGAAATTTAAACCAGTTACCTAAGTTGATTGGGTCTAAAAACGCCTGTGGAGAACGGGTTACATCACCTTCAATTGTTTTTTACTATATTTTGTACCAAGTGATAAGAATATTGGCTATCGACGCTTTGCCTTTGAGTCATCAATAATATAAACTTGTAGTTATAGTTAGAACAATGCAACCTAAAGGCTCCTAATAGCATCAACTTACCTGACATCAATACCGTAAACAGCGTGTACACGGTAAAGTTTGTCCTTTCGGCGAGAGCACCACTTACAATCGAACAGGTGAAGGCAGCGAGGGTGAAGTGCAACAACCAATGAACATAGATATTAGTTGATTCAGGAAGGTCCGACAGGGCGAAATTACTGTGGCTGAGAAACAGATTACTTTTCTCTCCCCACGCAAACGCGTAACCAAACAACCAATACATCAGTGCGCATGTGACTAGAAAAAAACCGGAACGATGTAGACTCGGAGGCCTGGCACGAACTTGGGCATCAAATTCACATGTCATTACATTGTATAATATTTCACACTTTGAGAACGCCTAGTCAGAAAAACTTGTATGAAAACTTGTACTTAATTTAATGCTAGGTATTTGCAAAAAGATAATCTAGATTACATTTGGGGTCCACAAATTCACTAATTTGCATCCCTAAGTCGCGTAGGGATGTCACATGGACTCTCCTTCGGTAAACTACGAGTGGTTGTTCCACTGACCTCTATAAGGTGAGTGAGCCAACGAAAGCAAAAAGTCATGTCAACGTGTTTCAAGTCGTACAGATTTTCGCCTTAAACCAGCGTTTAAAACGCGGTGTAGAATCAAATTGTAATTCTTCATTACAGAATACTCACATAAAATAATCATCTTCTTTATAATGATATCAGTTGTATTCTTTAATCTCGATGCTCCAGCCTCGAGGAACGCTAAACCCGCTTGAATAACTATATACCAGAAAAAAATACACGGTTTTGCAATACCACAGCCATAACGAAGCTTAGTTTAGGCTTGTTGATGAAATCATGGTTTTTAGTTGACTTAAACATGAGCGATATAATTATTATCAAGGGTCGTGCAGAACTGCATGCGCGTTAAAATAATATTGCAATTAAAAAATGAAAATGAAGTATGTCACTAATAAATGACCATTAAAAAAGCCCAGTATTTTTGTTTTTAAAATAGCCGAACGGTTTGCTTTGCATGATCAATGGGATTTTCAACGCTATAATGTAGTATAAGAGTGAACTGCATGCCTTAGAAAATTAACCAAATAAAAGCTTAGACAAACCTATCGGATGTTGTTCATTTTAGATAATTCAAGTTGAATCGGTCTCAAATATCCTTACTTGGCCGACGCAACATCGCAGAAATGTTGTCTTACGTATAGCTATCGCCGAATGACAAATTATAGTAATTACATAATTCTTTATTATTATTGATGAATATATCTCGCGCATTCATATTCGTATAATTTAAGCAGACTTAAGAAATCTTCTGAGAGCGAGCTTAGCTCATAAATGATCCGCCGCCCAAAAATTAACAACTATAGAAAAAGAACACCCTAGACACTTTGAAATGGACATCGTTTTTCAAAGGAACTCTATAATAACAGTGTTTTCTTTGTCACTTGGTATAATCATACATTTTGTAGTATTATAAATCGAGGTACTATAAAGTGTGAGAGAGCACATTAAAGTGACAAAGAAAGCATTAAAGCCAAAAAGAGAACATTAAGTTTAATTTGAAACACTATTATGTCCACGCGGAGTTAATGTGACATAAGTGTGCATTGTCGACCCATGAGACAAAATTGTGTGACGGACAATTATTTTTAAATTTGTATTTATTTGCCAAATAACATTTCGATCAGCCCAATGTGGAAATAAAATGCATCTGTCAGGAAACGAAATACTAAACTCGAAAAACGAGATACGACGTATATAGCTATCTTTGCTATTTTTCTTGATGTAATCGCGGCATCGGCCTGTCTATTTTTCATAATAGGCTCTATTATGGACAAGAAATCATCACTAAAATTAAACTTATTTTTAACAAGTCGTCTAGTAGCCGATAGTCGCATGTGGCATGTCATAAACAACAAAACAATAAACGGAAATGCAAAACATTTCAAAAGATATCAACTTACAGAAGATGAAGAACGAGATGACCAAGAGGAAGAAATTATCGACCGACGACACAGCTGGATTCTGCGGAACAGCCATTTTGAAAAAAAATTCCCGTAGCTATAAATGTCTCGGCGTCCTTTCCGATCTGTATTTATAAACCACTGGGCTCACTGCCGTGGTTTTATCTTCGACGTTACTTGGAGGAATTAAGAGATAATTCAAACACCCCGGTAAGTTTTGGGCTGTGGACTATTTTTAAAATAGTCTCAGGTAGCGAAATTTTTGTGATGCTCTTAGAAGAAATAAAACATCTTTAATACATGTGTCAAAAAATGCTTTGGTTAACGCTATTAGTCATGTATACATTTGTGGTTGTTATGGGCAACGACGAACCGTTAAATAGTGCATATATATATAAATTTAAATAAAACAGGTACAAGTCGCAATTAGTGACGTCGCGAACATAAACATGCACGTATCTTTGAGTTATATATTTGCATCTTACTTTATCGTTTTGCAACGTTTTCACTATTTTTGTTATTGTTGGAATTTTCAGTGAATTTTTCTTCTAATTCCGTGGATATTATCTGCAACTTAGCCCTGGTGACCGGGCCCGAAACTAGAGCGATAATTTGGAGGGTGAATGTTCGCATAATCTGTTCTGCCCGCTGGAGTTGTTTTGAAAACGCATATCGCCCCCACGTCCCTGCCCATTCCGGCCCTCCCATCACTTAGCTATAAAATTCATTTTAATATAACACTTTACAATGTAAATAATCTTTAGAAGATTGATCTATGTTTTACTAAAATATAGCCAAAGAGCAGCGTGCCATGCAGCGTCTTTGTGTGCTTTAAAATCGGTCGGGAAACATGACAAAGCTTTTCGGCCATTCGGAGGAGCGTTAATGTTAAATGCGTCGGTATAATCTTACATGATGGCTCTTAATGCCGGTTTTCCACTAGCGATATTTTTCGCGCGAAGCGACTTTATTCTTTTGTATTTGAGCAATTTGTTCCAGATGGTTGCATTTGAGAGCTCTGGAACAAAAGTAAAATGTCGATTCGCGCGAAAAATATCGCTAGTGGAAAACCGACTTAAGTCGGAACAATCATTAACTACTTAGAAGTCTGGAACTAGACAGTTCATATACACATTTTCAGCCTCGTATCCCGCATATCAGCCCAATATCCTCATACGCAGCCTCGTATCTTCATTCGCAGCCTCGTATCCTCATTTGCAACCTCGTATCCTCATTCTCAGCCTCGTATCCTCATTCGTAGTCTCGTATACTCATTTGTAGCCTCGTATCCTCATTCTCAGCCTCGTATCCTCATTCTCAGCCTCGTATCCTGATTCGCTGCCTCGTATCCTCATTTGTAGCCTCGTATCCTCATTCTCAGCCTCGTATCCTCACTCATTCGCAGCCTCATATCCTCATTCGCAGCCTCGTATATCCTCGTCAGCCTCATATCCTCATTCGCAGCCTCGCATCCTTATTTTCAACCTGTTGGAAATTGGCAATTTTGTTATTTTTAACTTAAAATTGCAGAAACCTAGCCTGTTTCAGATACAAGTAGTGCTTTTTTAGATCGAGTTGCAAATTTCTTTAAAGTTCTAACTATAGAAAAAATAATCAATTTTGTAGAATGCCATCATTTATTGGGAGGATCAATTGAGTATAGCTACGGGGTGATAAAATACATTGAATCATTTTGTAGTTTCATTTAAAATTCCATATATATGAAGCATTAATTTTTAATAATATTTTATTATGGAATAGTGTTTAATATATTAGCATGATAGCATTATTGGACGTTGATTGATGTGATGAGTAAAATTATTTTATTAATTCTACTATAGTCAAATGATTGATTTTGGAAAAGATATGTAATAGCATACAAAACTATTTTCATAACTAAAATCTAGGCATCCGTCGAGGAACCCGTTCGCTTCCAAATGAAATGTTATGAACAGCTGGGAACGACAACACAATAACCAAATCGTGAAAATCGTTAAAAATTTCTGTCAGACGGAGTTATAGGCCGAGGTTCACCTCCGTCTCACCGCGACTATTCGACCTCGGTCTGACCTCGGTTCAACCGCGATCAGGTTTAACCGCGAGCAGGTTTAACCGCGGGTTTTGTAAGGTTATTTCCGGACAGTACTGTAAGTTTGGCAGGATTGTGTTTGATAAAAGCTGTAACTTTGGCGGCTTTTGTACAACCGGCAACCGTCCACTGATGCATAATGATTCTCCACGAGAGGTTGCTCAGGTTGCATGTGCAAGTCGTGGAGAGAATTGAGGGTCGCATGTTTTTCTCTTCCGTGCATGTAGAAGTATATCTATAAGTAGATATGTATCTTATTTGGCATGTGCATTGGGTTAAATACACTATAATCGGCAAAATCACTTGCAAAGAAATTCGAATATAAAAGCAAAGTAAATATCACTTAATCCCGGCGTAATGAATAACTCGTCGCTTAGTAACCGGTGTTACGGTTGTCATGAGAACGACAGCCTAACATGTTGGTGTTAACATTTTGTATGAGACGAAGCATTCATATAGACATATACGTGATACGATATGATTTTGAAACGTCGTGACTTATTTTGGTGACCGCAACGAATTGATTTTTGTACTACCGAGTGAAATAGCATGGTCAAAGACAAAGTCGATCTTTGGAAATGCCGAGTTCCGGGCCTCGTTCGTATCGTTTATATAACCATATTCCTGTCGTTCAGTATAAATGTTGAGCATAGCCATAGTCTTTCTGCTCAGACTTTGAACAATGTGCGAACTTCAAGCTCAAATGCTACTATTAGCACAGAGAATTCGAGAGTCAGACAAGGTAAGATTATTATTTTAATACTCCTAATCGCCGAGCCAATGTGACATGTTGACTTTTGATCTTGACTGTGGCCATATATTTCATATTCATATGTCTGTGATGTCCGTACGAGCTTAATGTGATGTCCGTACGAGCCAGCCGGACTTAATGTTGTGAAATTTCTTTACAAACGCTATGAATTTTAGAAAACGTCAAGACACATGCATCAGTTCCCACGCAAGCGACAAAATCGCTTAATTTAAACTCGGACAATTGAAGTTTATCGCCCCCCACGTCAATGTGGTCGTATACTTGAATAATAAGTTTTCGGACGGAGTATACGACCTCTTTGGCTTTGCCTTTGGCCTTGTGTTTGTGTCGGTTTTGAATTTGGTTTTGTATATCTAAAGCGAATTGAAATAAAAAATATATCTAACAAAAGTGTTAACTGTTAAATTCGTGCGTAGCTACGTACTCCTTTATTTGTAAATGCTGCATGCTTTATATATTCAATTTATGTATTGAATTTCAAGCTTGATTTCTGGAGAAATCGTTTTTAAAGCCCACGAAACGTGATATTCTTTAATTATCTTTTATACTATATATGTTTCAAAGCTGTTCAATTTCTCCCACACCGTTTATGTTATAAAACGTATATATATTATGACGATTTTTTAAGCAGCTTTGTAAATATTCGATAAATGTCCTATGCTTATGCCACAGCTATTAACAGAACAATCATAAACATATACATTTTGAATATAATTTATTTTGCAACGTCTCAAAATGCAGCTGCAAAAAATAAAGGCCAATCACCAATGAATTTTCCCCTGCGAATTCTCCTTCTTTTGAGCTGTTTTGAAATCAGATACATGCATGAAGCAATTCGGTCTGGGCGCCGGAAATATGTAATCGGAAATGAAGGGGCATTTTATTACTATGACTGAGGTTTGGATGTGGATCATTGGTTTGTGATTAGGAAAAAGTTGTGTCATTGCCAAGACTTAGAACCGAAACTAGTTGCGATAATTTGGGGCCGGGGGGGAGGAGTATTCATATACTCGTTCTATCCGACGTGTTTATTTTCAAAGTCACATGTTCGTCCATCGGGAAGAACGAATGCACCATGCCATTATGGCACGTAGTTTCGGCTCTGACAAATTTGGATCTTGCTTGCTCAGAACCCAGAAGCTCGCAGGTGCAGGTGCATAGGCAACATTTTGTTGCATGAGCACTAATTTTGCAAACCTTTCTCGCATTGATCAGTAGTGCCACAACATGACGTTGAATTTGGGGGGTTATTACTGATATATTGGGCACTGCACTTCCTGGTGGTATATATATATATATATATATATAAATATATATATATATATATATATATATATATATATATATATATATATATATATATATATATATTCAGCGCAAAAAATTTTAAACGCGCGCGCAATTTTTGAATTGTATCAGCGCAAGCACGTTAAAAACGTCATCACACAAACTTTAACTGCTGTAGAGTAATCATTCGCCTGATGATCGTTTCAGAAGAAACGTGAAACACAGAGTGTAGCGAACAATATATTCAAAATTTTGTAATATTTCATTGATTTTATTTTAATCGCTCTATTAAATTTTGATATCGAGCACTCTTTCTTCTTGGATACTTTACTTAATTGTATATATATATATATATATAATATTATATATATATATATATATATATATATATATATATATATATATAAAATATACATGTAAATCGAAGTAGAAAAAATTCTAAATTTAACTTCCTACATGCTCTTAAAAGAGAACTTGCACAATAATCTTTATAGTATAAATGCTGAATAACGCGAAAGCAATTATATCAGTAGGTGAACTGAGAATTAAGCTAATGAAATTAGTATTTCTGAAAATTCGCCTCAAATGGAAGTACACAAACACAACGAATCACCATCACTATTAAAGGGCGTAATGTAAATACACGCAGTCTTGAGATTGAAAATCGCGCGGGATTTTGAATGTTAATACAGCTTTTTTACTAATCATGCATTTTTATAAAAACTGAGCTGAAGTTTATATCATCACTCATCTATGACGTGTAAATATTTGCTCGCACATATGTATATCTTCATCTGCTGTATTTTGTGAGTTTAGAAACAACGAGATATTGTTAAATTGCGGGACCCACGCGACAAAATCTTCAATTGCAGGATGAAAAATTGTGCAATTAGACATAACGATATTCTCTTATTTTAGTTTCGGATTCCATCACAACCGTTCGGTATTCAACCAATGTTATCGGGATAATATCAGGAGCGAGTACAACATTTGTACCATTTACAACATTAACATATTCAAGCGTTAATGTGGCGTCAGACACAAAAAACCTTAATAATATTGCTGAGATTTTGTCAACAACACACTCTAGTTACGTTGCAGCAGCAACACCAATTTACCTCCCAACCACCACAGCAGCAACACTAAATAACCTCACAACTACCACATCAGCAACACCAAATAACCTCAAAACAACCATCACAAAAACAACAAGCAACCTCCCAACCACCACAGCAGCAACACCAAATAACCTCACCATAACCACAACAATAACAACCAGCAACCTCCCAACCACCGCAGCAGTAACACCAAATAACCTCACAACAACCACATCACCAACATCAAATCACCTCACAACAACCACAACAGTAACAACAAGCAACCTCCAAACCACGACAGGAGGAACACCAAATAACCTCACAACAATCACAACAGTAACAACAAACAACCTCCAAACCACCGCAGCAGCAACACCAAATAACCTCACAACCACCACAACAGTAACAACAAACAACCTCCAAACCACCGCAGCACCAACACCAAATAACCTCACAACCACCACAACAATAACAACAAACAACTTCCAAACCACCGCAGCAGCAACACCAAATAACCTCACCATAACCACAACAATAACAACCAGCAACCTCCCAACCACCGCAGCAGTAACACCAAATAACCTCACAACAACCACATCACCAACATCAAATCACCTCACAACAACCACAACAGTAACAACAAGCAACCTCCAAACCACGACAGGAGGAACACCAAATAACCTCACAACAACCACAACAGTAACAACAAACAACCTCCAAACCACCGCAGCAGCAACACCAAATAACCTCACAACCACCACAACAATAACAACAAACAACCTCCAAACCACCGCAGCAGTAACACCAAATAACCTCACAACAACCACAACAGTGACAACAAACAACCTCCAAACCACCGCAGCAGCAACACCAAATAACCTCACAACCACCACAACAGTAACAACAAGCAATCTCACAACACCCACAACAGCAATACCAAATAACCTTACAACCACCACAGCAGCAACACCAAAATACCTCACAACAACCACAACAGTAGCAACCAGCAACCTCCCAACCACCACAGCTGTAAAACCAAATAACCTCACAACAACCACATCACCAACATCAAATAACCTCACAACAACTACAACAGTAACAACAAACAACCTCCAAACCACCACATCAGCAACACCAAATAACCTCACAACCACCACAACAGTAACAACAAGCAACCTCGCAACACGCACAACAGTAACACCAAATAACCTCCCAATCACTACAGCAGCAACACCAAATAACCTTACAACAACCACAACAGTAACAGGAAGAAACCTCACAAGAACCAAAACAGTAACAACAGGCACAACCACAACCAAAACAAACAACCTCACAACGGTATCACCTACCGCGATACTTACCACACGAAGTACGCCAAAATTTTCAGCGACGAACATATTGTCCAGTGCACATATGATATCGAGCGTAACAACAACTGGTTTAGTTTCACGAAGTTATTCAATGAATTTCACGGCAACACTAAGCCGTAAAATTTTCACCAGCCGTAAAATTACAACATTTGAAGTGACCAGAATGTCGTCACCAGTGACTGATGACGTATTAATACCATCGTCGACCTTATCAACTGCTGTTTTCGAATCATCTTCCTCCACTGTGATGACAACTCGATTCAATTCAAGAAGTGGTGACACCAAGCACAACCACAGCAATGCCCGCTGCATCCGTGTCGTTCACTGTTACAGCAGAATCATCACCAAGTTACACCACATCTGCTATTTCACCAACAAATAATACCTACAACTCGTGACATCTCATTATTCTATCAGGACGTCAAACAATTCAACAATCAATGACTTTGTACCATCCACAATTGTCGCATTGCCACCTAGGAATGAAATGTCTACAATGGTATCATCTTTGACATTCAGAATGGTCAGGTCTGACTCCACATTGATGGCAAGCAGCAACTCAACTCGAACTGTTCCAATGCCCAGTATATCTGGGCCGTACACTCTTAGAGCAATAATATCACCAAGTTCTTCCAAGGCTTCTATTTCACCAACAAATGATTTCCAAACAACCATATCAACAATTGTGGCATCATTTTCGGTCAATACAAAGAAAACAGCCACATCACCTTCTACCTTGGAAATGACTGGCGTCGAATCAACTGTCTTCAATACAATGTCAAATAGAGATTTTACGCCAACTCTAACTTCACCTTTTGTGGATAAAACTACATTAGGCGCGTCTGCCATGTTTAGGTCACGTTACTCGATTGATACTACATTATCGCTCAGTAAAATAACCACTATGAACAACTTTACGTCACCGCCATTCTTTATAATGTCGAAATTTTCCACAAAAGCGAATACTTCCTTTACAACTACAGGAATTGGTAGCATGATATCAAGTTATCCAACTATGGGATCTCTTACGAAAACAATAGCAAAGAGCAGTGCAGCAACAATAGCAGAGACCAGTTCAATGATGGAATCAAGTTATCCAAAACTGACTGCAACACTGACTGATTCTATATCCGAAGTTTATTCGACGTCGCTAATGACTGCTGTCAGATCAACAACCTACATGGACACCATCACGCCAACTGTGGCACTACCAGGTAAAACAAACAGGGCACCTGTACCATCAACAAATCCATTTATTATGTCACCAAGCTTAAGTTATGACTACTTGTCTACAACTATCGAGGGACATAATATTACAACAACCAAACTGGCATCAAGTTTAAACGTGACTGAAATATTGACCGATTATCCACCAAAAACCACTTCTACGTCAAAAGTAACTGTTATCCGATTGTCAAGCTTCACTGAGAAGCCAACAACGATTAATGCATCTCACAGTAGATCAGAACCGTCCGCCAAGACATCAAGGTATCCCTACATTACCCTGACTCCAACGAGTAGTTACCAGGCAACTATGGTATCCCAGCATTCGACAATTTCCTCCCGTCATTTAACATACTCTCTTTCAACCAGCAATACTTCCAACTTGGGAGAAGTTATGTCATCAAGTTTCCTAAACGTGACTAAATCCTCGACTGAATATATACCAGCATCATCTTCGAAACCGTTGATAACTGGTTCCGGATCATCAAGCTTCATTCTGATATCAACTAGAAATATGACGAGAAATGGGTCGGCCACAAAGACAACTGTGATATCACCAAATAGCTTAATAACCGTATCCCCAAAAAATTATTACCAAAGTCCCATCTCATCCCAACATTCAACAGTACTATCTCATGATCAAGAAAATCCCTCAACTACGCGTAACTTGTTCACAAGTACTATGAAAGCGTTTAACAAATCTCTTACAACATCGAACTTGGTAAAAGAGAATAAATCAACTTTTCCAACCAGCATTAAAACATCGAATTATTATCTTTCAAAAACACCCGTGACAACCCCAACGGCACGTGTGAGATCGTCAAACCACACTGAGACGGTAGCTGTGACGGTCAGCGCAACAACAAGAACGCACAATGTGTCTAAGCCAGCTACAAAGACAATTGTGATACCATCATATCGAACTCTGTTCTCCAGTTCGACAGTAGATATGGCCTCTGGCAGCTATCCGCTTCCCACCAGTATGCCAGCTAGTACCTTCCGAAATCCAAATGTAACATTTTATATGTCAAGTGTGACGAATAATTTCTCACAAGCCGGTACTGCAAGGGGTATGGTTAAATCTATTACGTCATCTGGAGCGCAGGCTTTGACAAAAATAAATAGTGTCATTTCGTCAACGACAATAGCCTTGTCCACTAACAGTAGATTGAAAGCATCAGATTATAAATCCACATCTTCAAGAATTGCGCCAACGTCTTATAGGGCTACGCCGAGCAGAAGTTTGCTTCAGGTGAACACTGAAGCACCGAAATCTATGATTTCAACATTTACACTGAAGGAGACTCCTGTACAAGAGAGTTCCTCGCCTTCATTAGCCCTGTCCACTACCAGAAGATTGAATGTATCAGATTATAAATCTATATCTTCACAATTCGCGACAACGTCATATAGCGATACGCCAAGCACAAGTTCGATTCTGGTAAACACTGAAGTGCCGAAATCTACGATCTTAACATTTACATTGAAAGAGACTCCCGTACGAAGCAGTTCCTCGTCTCCATTAGCCTTGTCCACTACCAGTAGATTGAATTCATCATATTATAAATCTGTATCTTCACACGCGACAACGTCATATAGGGCTACGCCAAGCACAAGTTCGATTCAGGTAAACACTGAAATGCCGAAATCTATGATGTCAACATTTACATTGAAAGAGACTCCTGTACAAAACAATTCCTCGTCTACATTAGCCTTGTCCACTACCAGTAGATTGAATTCATCAGATTACAAATCTATATCTTCACGATTCTCGACAACGTCAAATAGCGATTTCGCAAGCACAAGCTCGATTCGAGTAAACACTGAAGTGCCGAAATCTATGATTTCAACATTTACATTGAAGGAGACTCCTGTAAAAAACAGTTCCTCGTCTCCATTAGCCTTGTCCACTGCCAGTAGATTGAATTCATCAGATTATAAATCTATATCTTCACACGCGACAACGTCATATAGGGCTACGCCAAGCACAAGTTCGATTCAGGTGAACACTGAAATGCCGAAATCTATGATTTCAACATTTACATTGAAGGAGACTCCTGTACAAAACAGTTCCTCGCCTTCATTAGCCCTGTCCACTACCAGTAGATTGGATGTATCAGATTATAAATCTATATCTTCACAATTCGCGACAACGTCATATAGCGATACGCCAAGCACAAGTTCGATTCTGGTAAACACTGAAGTGCCGAAATCTACGATCTCAACATTTACATTGAAAAAGACTCCCGTACAAAACAGTTCCTCGTCTTCAATAGCCTTGTCCACTACCAGTAGATTGGATTCATCAGATTACAAATCTATATCTTCACGACTCTCGACAACGTCATATAGCGATATCACAAGCACAAGTTCGATTCGAGTAAACACTGAAATGCCGAAATCTATGATTTCAACATTTACATTGAAGAAGACTCCTGTAGAAAACAGTTCCTCGCCTGCATCAATATATTTGTCAACTGTGTTGGTAGCAGTCAGTAATGTTGTCACTCAAACAGCAAGCTCCCATAAAATTACTGCTAATTTGAGTGGAGCTTTATTCTCCCAAATCAAATCTTCAATGGTCTTCCCATCAACAACAGACACTGCATTATCTACTGACACGCTAAGTGTGAGGTTTACCCAAACCTTTACTCCAATATTATCTTTCACGTCAGTACCCACGGCAGTTACTTCTCGGGAGATTTCATCGCCCTGGATATCATCATCTTCTCGCTCACAGTCGTCAAATCCATCGTCAAAAGTCAGATTATCATCAATGGATCAAACATCTGACCAGTCTTTGATTCAGCTGCCCAGTTCCACACCATTGGTTGAAACTTCAATGAGCAGTTCGTTGTCGAGCGAAGTATATTCTATGCTTTTGAATCGAGAATATATGACTTCAGAATATTTGACGAAAAGTGTTACAAGTATAAGTCAAACTGTTTCGTCTCCTGAATTGACAGTTACCTCGGAGAAAGGGTCAGTGCTAAGCATGAAATCGTCGATGACATTAGTTACAGCAACAATATCAGTCCAATCACAAATGGACAGCACCAGCAGCTCGAGTCGTGCTCACATTACTAGTTCTTTAGCTTCTGTGACTTCGAAAGATGATGCAAAATCCATATTCAGTAAAAAATCATCAATCCAAAATACAAGAATCACACAATCATCTCTCTCCACTTTAAGTAGAAGCTCGATTTATTCCTACAAACAGCTTTCTAGTTCAGTGTTATTGGAAGTAACTTCAACGAAAGCCACCAGAAAAGTCTCCTCCACACCGTCTATTAGAGCTTCAACTTCATTTTTAAGTTCTAGAGAAAAGATCACAACCAAAGCAACAAGACTATCTGATGTATCATCCCTTTCAAACACAGCTGTTCAGACAAGATATCTAGAGAGTGCTTCAGATATTCCATCGTGCATTACATGTTTTCCAACACAACAAACTTCAAAAGCGTATATTACATCGTCCAGCAGTGTTGTAACTCGAAGTATCGCCGTAGAATTCAAAATTCAAGTAATACTTTTGATTCCAATTAACGTTATAGTTAATGACAAAGATTTCATACAAAATTTGCAGAAAAAATTGGAAGACCTGTACAACTTTGGATTAACACTTTTAACCTCTTCTCGTAAACGACGTGCTCTAGGCGAGGGGATTTTACCTGTCAATAAATTGGGAAAGTTTTCCAGACTTCGTGATTTATTTAAAGAAGATTTGAATTCTCAAATGAAAGCAGACAACCGTCGATTTCGACGACAAACAACAAATATCACAAGAGTGGAGGTAAGAATTATATTCCTTGCTTCTTTTGATGATACAAGAATTGTCGAGAAAACATCTTCATATATAAAACGATATAGATGAATCGTATAAAATCCGGCCCGTTAAATAAACAAAAGCGAAAAAATCTAGCAATAGAAATCTACCAATATGATTGCAAGTTAGAGGTGTTGTAATTAATTTTATTCTAATTCACATACCCTGGGTGAATAAATCCGTTATTAACTGCTTGGGTACCCTTTTATCCCGTAAACAAAAAACAACGTTCTAATATCGTTTTAAATTTAGATTGTTAATGTCACCCGTCGAGCAGGCAGTGAAGATGTACGGGTTACTTTTTATGTCACCTCGGGGAATTCATTAGTACCAGCGAAAGATGCCGCAAAGACCTTGAATGCACCATCCACTGCTGACAAAGTCGCGAAGTTGGGCTATTTGGTATAAACTTATTCACCTTAATAATTTAACACGTCGATAATAACAAGCGTTTTCATTCACTTTTGCGGTCAATGCCCAAACGTTAAAATATGCCATTTTCACAATTCATTTTACATCGAAACCACATGCATTCGCCAGTTTTGCTTCATGTGATACAAAAGCTTAAGCTTAAGGCCTTGTTACACGGTGCAATTTTTCATGCAACTTGCAATGCAATTCTATTTTTAAGATATTTAAATGAGTAAGGAGTCTTAAAAAATTAAGTTTAAGAAACGTTCATGGAAGTTTCAGCCAAAGTTTCGCCAAATTTATATATCTCGAAAGAAGAATTGTATAGCAAGTTAAAAATTAAATATTTCACCGCTTAAAATTTATCATTCAATAGCTGAAGTATCTATAGTAACCAACCAGATGTATCCAAATGAGCCTCGTTTTCATTTTGTCTCGGACTTATTTACTTATCTCTAATCGTTCAAAATGAATTATTAGCGACAATTTAGAAACAATATTTTGCTCATTATATCCGTTAGTAAATACCGTTAGTAAATAAACTCTTTGCCGCACGTGTTTTATTAATTGGGTGAGGAATGATGGTGTCCAATAGGAGACTCGCAGTGGAGACTGTAGTTTTTATATAACAACTGGAACAATTAAATTTTTTGTAGGTGTCAGGGAAATTTTCGGAAGCCGCTAATCCTGTGGAAACCGAGGAGAAAAAAAAAGATGACGAGACTTTGTTGATAGTCCTTGCCGTCTGTATTCCAGTTGCATTTGTTTTTGCTGCTTGTCTGATTATCAAATGCAATAAGAAACAGAGAAGATCCCGAAAACTAAAGGTATGTTTGGGAATATTTACAACCGGATCATAGTTTATGATCTCAGAAATTCAGCTAGAACCAAGTGTGTGAATATGTTTCAATCTTCTAAAAATTTTCCAATCCCGTGGCAGGAATCCGACCTGCCCCTCCAAGATTTAACCGCAGCGCTCGTACTATTAAGCTTCGAAAACGGCCCTTTTGGGGAGGGGGGGAGAACATTGGTGAAAATTGAAACTTTTAGTTTATTAGGGAGTTTCTGAGGGTAACACTTATGGTATCGAGTTTGTGATATTATGATGCTTTGATTGCGTAACCAACTACACCTTATGTGAACAAAAAATCAGGATTCCGTGCAAGGTTAGCCTGCGTCACAGTCCACTCCCCGTAGTGAGTGGACTGTGACGCAGGCTAGTACAAGGTACATTGCTCTCCTCAATTATTGTCGTCAAGAATGCATGTCTTCCGTCGCTACGCGGGAGCGTTTGATGTCGTAATACATAAGGTATATTTTGTTATAGGGGATTTGCTTTCGGGCCATCATGCATATGTCTATTCGGTCTATATTTAAAAAAGCAGGGCATGTATGGGTTTGAGCGCCTTCTTGGATAGTTCATGACGGTCCATGAATTAATTAAACCACTGCTTGTTTTAAATAGCTTAATAAAGTGTCATTTGAACAAGCAACCTCAAATGGGAAAATTAATGCTCCTGAAAGGTAAATTTTTGAAAACACTTCCTATTATATCAAAATTCTTGATGTTCTTCATTTTCATTTTTGATTTAAAATTATTACACCGCAAAGCGGAAACGAGTATTTTGAAGCAACAATCAGTAAAATAAAAATAAAATATAATAGACATAATTTCTCTGGCCTTCTGGCACTGCAGGAATCATGGAGGATAGGGTGGGAGGGGGTTGGTGTTAGCAGCAGAAGCACTGCGCTTCCCAGAAAAAAACTCAAGGTCTCTACTCTTCGATGCAGGCTGTTCGTGATGTTACCTACAATACATTATAAAGGGGAACATAATTTGCCATGCACCTACATATAGCTAAAAAATACTACGAACAGCACTGAAATGTAAGCCTAACTCTCTCTTGCCTTACTGCATGCTCTACGTAGAACAGGCTCTAATAATTATTACCTCGTTGCATCAACTACATATAATAGCAGAACAAAACGCTTATTTCTTATTATCAACACATATAGCAGTATTGAAGAGAGATATACCCATGCGCCAACGCTACCGATGAAAGATTATCCAGATGTGATCGTACAGACGCCAGCAAGAAAGAAACAGAGAACAAAGAAGGCGAAAACAACTAAACGTTTGAAAACGGAAGACGAGGTAACATTTATAATATTACTGTGTGTTTAACAAGGAATTAAATATTCCGTCATGTACGTATACCTGTTGTTCTCAGGTTTCATTTAAGATAGCTTCGTTATAAGTACAGTTATCGAAATCAAACAGGTTTTATTAGTTATAGAGGATATGTTATAGTTATATGTTACAGTAGTATTTTATAAGAAAGATAATGGAGATATTACTTTTCAAATGGGGTCTGTGAGTCATCTTTAAAATGCAATGATCTTGCCTATAAAATTTCCAACCATACATATTGAATTATTGTATCCTTGGTCTAGCCCATAAAATTTTCAAACATATTATAACAAATTATGCATCAACTGTAGTTACCTAAAACATTAACGCCTGTCACACTCGATGAGAGCGAGTGATATCGAACTTTTTAAATATAGGCGCAAGTGCGCTATAACGTTTTATGAAGTTGAAACAAATTGCATTTTTCATTGTCATTTTAAGACCGACGAGAAATAAACTGAATGCTATAGACACTGTAAAATGTTTTCTGCATGTTTGGAAAGAAAATCGGCGAATACCGTTATTCCCGGCTTTCCTAGAACCGTCCCATAATTTCTTTTTGTCTAATTTTGATTTATAGATGGATGGTCAATCTGGTTTGGCTGGCGCATTTGAAAACATCACACGTATAAGTTTTGAAGGTCCTTCAAACGTTGCCATTGATGATATCCCTCTTCGGCTACGTCCGGCAGTGAGGCAAGATACCGACGTGAAGAAGCCAGCCAGTAAAGATATTGTTGAGGATTCCGGGGTTCCTCGCTCGTGGATAGAGAGTAAAAACAAAGTTGACATGATGAGCAGGAAAAGTGAAAGAGAAATGGACAAAAAAGTTACGGCTGATGCGACATACAACGATGAAGAAAAAGAAATGGAACAATCAGAAGATACCATGCAAATTAAGGTTTGTCGTGTCGTAATTTTGTTTTGATCACTACTGAGATGATATTTTATCCATACTTCATAATCATCTGTCATATAAAATTCGCCAAAAAATCTTTAGTTCTACTAGGTTTTTAGTAGTCACTTGTTATCGGTAGGAGTGGCTGGTAAGGTTATGCACAGTCGATGAGACATTAGGATTCGACTGATTTTTGGATCTTTTTTAGCCCGAGGCCCGCGGCAAATTGCTGACTTTGTCTCTCTCCCTTTAAGAGGCCCATGGTACTTGTTGATAAGCAATTCAAGTCACTCGGTTATTTCATTTCTCCAGTCATCGATTATGATAAAGTCTTTATCCGCTGTCTGTTTGTAATCATAGATATCATCCTTAATTTTCTTTCAAAATGAAGACCATTCTTGCTCTGTGAACAAAAGAATGTCCGACTTATGATATAAGTGAATCTACTTAGCAGTTAGGATGTTAGAGGAATAACATCTTATACACTTTTTTCTACTCCGAGTACATCGTAGACTCACTCTGTGATGATATTTGTATATGCATTACCAAATTGTTGGGGTTTTTTGCTGTGTAGGCCAACATAGAGAAATGGCGGAATAAAATGAGACAAAGAGAGCGAAGGAAAGGACGAAAACGTGAGAAAAAACGCACTGGGGAGAGTAAACTGATCGCGTTGGAAGAAAAGAAGTTATCAAGGCGTGAATGGCTTATGGCACAACCCGAGGTAGTACAATTATGTCTGGCGATTACGTTTTTTTATGCGCGAGTTGTGAATGATTGCCAGTGGCGGCGCCACTGGAATGAATGGGAGGGGCAATTGGAAGTTAAATTAGTTAGTTAAAGTTTTTTGGGAGGGGACAAGTTAAAGTAATGTGTTTTTTTTTTGGGGGGGGGCAAGTTTTTACTTTAAGTGCAGCGAAAATGGCCTAAAAGTATGGCATAATATGAAAAGCTTTGGGGGGATGGGGAGAGACAAGAAAATTGCGGGCCTTACCCCCTGGCACCGCCGCTGAGGATTGCTAAGCAAATGAGTGGGCTTAGTTAACGAATTTGCGATCCTTGGCAACGAATGCGCAACAAAAATCGTACCAAGAAGCCAGGCCTGCGACCAGGTTTTTATTTTCCATTTCATATAATTATAGAGTTCACTGGCTTCACTTAATTAATTGCTTCTCACTTGTAACACTAGTAGTAATGTGATTTCATTTACTGAATTACATCTTATACAGATTCAAGCAATTCTTGATGGTGAAGATTTAGCCACATCAACCTCATCATTGTAAGTATAGGCTCCATTTCTGTCATGTATATTCTATTTAATTTCTACTATCAATCTGACAAAATTTCAGACAACTGTTTTAAAACATAGGCGCACGGGTTCAAACATTATTTTGGTCCATAGCACATGCATCGGGTTACGACTGAATGCTTGTTTAATTTCTTTAGAAGAAAAAAGAAATATCGACGAGAGCGTTCGCACCAGTCAAAGAAGCATCCTTACAGCGATAGCGATAGCGAGGTATGCATAAGACAAGCTACATAAAATTATGACCTAACTAGTTTATATATAGATGCGATGGACCCTTTACATTAATCATGTCACTTGAAGATATTCTAGTTATCCTGCGTATATTCCAAATGAATGCTTGTGTCAGAAATATATCCAAAATATCCAAAATGTGAAAGAACAGTATTTGACAACTACTGTTTTAAACAACATTCTCGATTTTGTTCTAGTTTTATATAATTTTGAAATCTCGTAGTCTTTTGTTTTTCCCCGCCATGCATGCTTCATTAAATCCCATTGTATGTTTCTTTAAGACTAGGTTTTTTCTTCTAGGCTTCGGCAACACCAGTAAGACGACACCATCGTCGACGCTTTGCACAAAGGTCTACGCGTCGAGTACATCCTTCTGAGAACGACGGTGTTCGTTTGATTGCTGTTAGACCAAGGAAGGTATGCACCAAAGCACGATATAAATATTAAAAATGTCATTTTATACAAACAAGCTTACTATGTAAGAAAGGGTAGAATTACTATCTGGTTGATGCAAAGGGTTATTTTCGCCGAAACATTGATTGGAGTTTTTACTGCCTTTAGCTACATAAAGAAAAACTTTGCTATGGAATCACCAGAATAGAATGCTTCATATAACCAGACAGTCGGTCAAAGTTCGCTCGATCTGGACACTGCATGATTTTTTATTCAAAAAAAAACAAGGCACGCTGAGTTTAAGTCCAATTAGAATTCTTACTTTACGTTTATACGCACAATTTTTTTTCTCATTTAATTTTCCCGTATATTCCATTTGCAGCCCCTCGTATACGCTTTTGAAGAGCCGGGATTTGAACAAGAATTTCAGCAGCGGTACATGCCACCTGAAGACAGCAGTGTTCCTTTGCAAGCGCCAACAGAACCTGACGAGGAAAGGCAGTTCAGAG